TTAAGGTACTCAGCGTGAAGGACCAAAGTCCTGCCAGTTCAGCTGCTCTTTCGCAGGACCGAAGCCCTTGCACACCAGGCTGTGATGTGACTCACAGTGCTGAAGTTCTGGAATGAACCACGGACCAAATGGGGTCTCCTCCCCCTGCGTGGGCGGTCCCTCAAGCAAGCAGAACCAGGGAAGCTCATGCTAGGACGGGAGGTCATAGACAAAAACACATTCTCTTTCCACACACACCCCAGCCCATACTTCCCTCTGCCTAGGAGCAAGTCCTACCACGTGTGTCTGAATTTTCAGTCTTTTGTTTGTTTTTTTGAGACAGAGTCTTGCTATGTAGCCAAGGCTGACCTTGAACTTGCAGGATCCTCTTGCCTCAGCTTCCTATGTGGTGGGATTACAGGCGTGACTGTCCCAGAGCTCCCCCCACCCCCCCGCCGCCTTCACCCCCAGATCCCAGTCTAAATCCTAAATCTCCCTGGGTGCAGCAGCTGTGTGCAGGCCTGCATGGCCATCCTCGCCTTCACCTGCAGTCTTCCTTCTCTGTCCTCATCTTTTCTGCTCCTGCCCCCAAACCCGCTTCCCAGCATCATTCCAGGGCAGGAGCTGGCCTCCTCCTTATTCTCAGCCAGCTCCGTGTCTGGGAACCACCCTGCTCACAGCCTAGTGGGAAGGGCACCCCCAGACGCCCTGTCCAATCTGGGATGTGGAAGTGCAAACATGGAAGGAGAGAAAGCAAGCCAGTAACAGGCCCAGAGCTGTGGCACTGAGGCGGAAGAGGACACAGAAGCACAGCTGAGTGAGGTTAGGTTTCACTGTTTGTTTGGCCACAGTAGTGGAGGGGCACCCAGGGCCTTTGCACTGAGCTACATCCCCAGGCCTTCTTTTGTGCATTTTGGAGCAGGGCCTCACTGCGTCACTAAGTTGCTCATGCTGGGCTTGAACTTGCAGTCCTCCTGCCTCAGCCTCACCACTGTTGTGTTCAAGGCATGCACCACCTTACCCGGCTTGTGAGCTTTTTAATACAATATGCCCATCCACTCCCTGGGCATCAGTCCTGACCCAATTCCTAAAAGAAAAACTTTGCAGAGCGTTGGTCAAGGCTTCTCCGGGCGTCTCCACTCACCCCTCTCTTGCTGGGCGTGTCGTTCTCAGTGGCTATGAATCAGCGCTTCCTCGGCTTTAAAAGGCTCAGTGACAACCACTTCAGGGCTGAGAGCTCTCTCGTTAAAGAGACCACTTCAGAGCAACCAGCTACAGTCTCTTTAAGGCCTAAATCCTTCAATCTGCCCTCAGAATGCTTTGCTTCTTCTCTTTGGGCCTGGCAGGAAATGGGGCCTTGCTCCGCTTCTGGCTGCCACTGGGTCCCGTGTTCGCGGACAGCCCCCCAGCCTCCCTCTTACACTGGGGGCGGCACTTCTGGGAAGCACCTGCCACCCGGCAGCCTCTGCGCCCCCAGGAGGGCTTTTGTGCTCTTTCCCACCGTGATGCATGGATTGCAGAGTCTGCTCGTCTGGTTGAGATGAAATTCTTCTAAATCCAAATGATACTTCAGGCAGCAAAGTCTCAAGCTGCTCAGAAGCACCCTCTCTGCCTCTTGCTGACTCTGGCGACCACATCTCCCCATCCTCAACCCTTCCCAGCTCTCCCTGAAAGGCTGCAGGGGCCCCAGCACCTGGACTGGAACTTGGCCCTGACTTCAGCCATCGGTCACTCCAATCTCTCCTCTCCTCTTGCTCTTTCCAGTTTGTTTATTGCATGGATTAATTTTCAATAAATTCCTCCCTCTCTGTTCTCGGGGCTGCAAAGTGTTCTATTCTCTCCCTTTTCTTGGTCGCAGCTATGACAGCTTCCTGTAGACTTTGGGTCCACCTGTAAAACTTCTGTTTTGCACAAGTTGCGTTCTTTTCCTGTCCTTTTGATGTCTTTGCTAGTCTTTCTGCAGCAAAGGGTTCTGCCTTTTCCCCAGCTAGCTGACAAAGTCAGCCTGGGACACGAGTTTTGTTGCTATCATCCCCACCCCTAAGATGAGGACACAGAGGCTCAGACAGGAAAAGCTCTGCTCTGAAGCTCGAGGTTGTGGCGCAGGCCTAGGTCCCATCCCTTCTTGGGTGCATCGCCTTCCCTCCCCTGCATCTCATGGGCTCCCCTCCTCTGCCCACCTCCCACTTTTGCCTGGAGGGGGGATTCTTGTCCCCTGTCCTCTGTCCTTTCACTCCTGTGCTCTCAGGACCTACTCTCGTGGAATAATTTGATGAAAGATGGCATCGCATTTATTTCCTTTTACCCACAAGTGCTTCCTATATGTTGTTTTACTTTTCCAGTGCTGGGGGTCAAACTCAGGGCCTTGCACACGCTAGGCAAGTGCTCTGCGACTGAGCTACACATCCCCGCTCTGTGTTAAGTTTGCTTTCTCCTGGTACCTATGCTCCGATTAGGTCCAGCGACATGCCATCAGCTACTTTAACAGACAACCTAAGAGCTCACTGATTTCCCTCAAGAACTACATTGGACAGCTGGGCTTCTCCGAGGCCTGCTGCTGGGGCTGGGTCACCTGGGGTCTGCCTGTCACCTCTAACTTTCTCTCCCCACCATTCCTGTCTGGGTCTTGATTTGTTGCCCTGCCTTTTGTGGCCCATGTGTGCAGCCCTCTGGGCTCCTGGAGTGGCCAAATCCTTCCCAGGGTTCCAGTGCCCGTCTGTCCATGGGCGCAGGCCCACGGCTTTCACCACAGCACATGGAGATTGCTTTAGACCCCATGATTCCTGCTTTCCAGACTTGGCTGGAAAGGACAAGCAGGCTGACCACCAGGTCCCAGGTGGTACGGGAAGAAAGAAGAGCCCCTGTGAAATGGCCAAGCAAGCCCTCTGTGGGTTCCCCCGGGGCCGAGAGCTGGGCTCTGGGCTGAGGGGATGCGTCCCAGGGCCACGAGGCTGGTGATGCTCCCATACTCACAGGTTCATTAGGGGCTAGACAGTGAGGCCTCCTGCAGGCATGTACAACAAAGCTGGATTCAGAGGAAGGGCGCTGCACCCTCTTCTCCCTCTACTCTCCAGGAATCAGCCTGACTTTCAGTTCCCCAAAGGATGCCCATGCCATGGGCGCTGGGAGCTCTGTGCTGTGGATCCACGGCAGGGCCACCACTTGCCCCAGCCAGTGCGAGTCTGCTCTCGGGGCATGACGTGGCCAGCGGACACTCTCTCCAGGCTCCTGGCCCTGGGCCCTGCTTCCCTACAAACACCTCAGGCCACTTGTGGGCCTGCCACGTTTGGGTTAGGTAGGGACACACTGACCCCTGCCCTCTATGTCAGGGACTAAACACATTTAGCACCCAGGCACCCATTAGCTAGGCAAGTGCCACCTCTGCAGATTTTACTGAGCATTAACAGTCACTGGCCTCACATTTGCATTTAAGTTGGCCCTGGAATTTATGCACAGGAGTCTGGAAAGGAGCCTTGGGCAGTGCAGTCCATGGTAACACCAGCGGCACTCTGCCAGCAGACGAGAGGCTGGCTTGAAATCAAACACATTCATGACAAGAGAGCCGCTCATCCATGCACCCGAGTCCCAGCTAACGAAACCCTGACAGGACACAGTGCGAGCAGCATGGGACAGAACGACAGGTCCGGGGCTCACCCTTCCTACAAACAGCAGCCACTTCCTGCTAGGAACAAAGAACTCATTGCTGCTCTTGGGTCCATCCAGTCCAAACGGCTTTAGCTGCTGTCTCGATTGTGCCACTAACTGCACAGCTAAATTTTAAAACACCCTTGTATCTGAAGCAAACTGTTTCTAAACACGGAAACACGCACACCACGTGTCGCGATCACACCAGGGCATCCTAGAGTCAGAGTGGCCGTGAGGAGCGGGCGCTGACCCTCAGGCCCCTTCTATGTGCCAGGGTCTGCACACCTTCATGCCAGCCACTGGGGTGACAGGAGCCTCAGGGGCAAGAAAATCAACATCCTGAGGGACCGCAACTCCCTGACTATAAGAACCTGGCAGAGTGGAGTGAAAACTGGGCTTGAGGCAGAAAGGGAGTTTAATTTGACTCTGCCATCTGATGTCAGTGAATTCACTGAATAGCTCTGGCTTCTGCTTTCGGGTAATAAAAAGGAAGGGCAAAGCCTTACATCATGGCCGCAGCAGGCAGGGATGGGTATGGGTTACCCCATGGGGTGAGGCCCAGAGAAGGCAAGGGAATGTTTGCCGACTCAGGTGCCAAGGTGGTACTTCAGCAGTCAAAAGTTCCCATTTACACCTCACATTTCCAGTGAGATCTTACACTGGAGAAGCAGGGCCCAGCTGGGCGGTGTGTGGGTCCACACCCGTAACCCCTGCGCTTCACAAGTTCCAGTCCACTGGGCAACTCAGGGAGACCCTGTCTCAAAAACAAATATGCAAAGGGCTGGGGTGGGGATACAGCTCTGGGCAAAGGCCCTGGGCTCAATCTGAAGTACTGGGGAAGAAAAGAGCTCTTTCAAATCAAAGCTCTAGAGGAAAATAGCTCCGCTGACATTGCACACAAAATATGTGCTTTTCACCAATAAAACAGTCTTCCTCAGGCACACCAAGGACAGAAGAGGTGCAGACGCCCCTTAGTAGCATGGTCTTCACCTCTACCACTTGGCTGGCATGTGGGGAGCATGCCATGTTGGCTCTTGAGTATTCTTCCTTCTCCTTTTTTTGGTGGTAATGGGGATTGAATTCAGGGAGCACTGAGCTACATCCCCAGCCCTTTTTATTGTATTTGAGACCAGGTCTGGCTTAGTTGCCCAGATTGGCCTTGAACTTGGGACCTTCCTGCCTCAGCCTCTTGAGTAGCTGGGATTACCACATCCAGCCCTCCCCCTTCATCCTCCCCAACTCTGGACTCTACGTCCTTGGTATGAAGGAGAGCAGCAGATACATGAACTCATTTTCTTACCCACTCTCTTGCAAAGACAAAGGGACACAGAGGTTTCAAGGGACAGAGCAGAGGGACACTGGGGGACTCTACTCACCCACTCCTCTGTCCCCCTTAGAGTTCTGCTGTCCTCCAGAGCTGGTGGAGAGGTCCTCGGGGACAGGCATGGGCTCATCGCTGTCATCTGGAGTGTCGCTGACCGGGGGGCTGTCCTTCCCTGAGGAGACAGGCAGGCTTAGGGGAGGCTGTCACTGCCCACAGGGGAAGCCCATGGCTCGGGCCTCACTGTGGTGGCCTGAGAGGGACAGGGTCAGTGGTGACCAGATTGAGTTGAGGCTTCTCAGTGGGGATGGACACACATTTTTCTTTTTGTAGTAGATTACCAGTGTCCCCTTCCAGATGCAAAATAAACATGGGAGAACAAAGATGTGCAAAAGGAAAATTGATGAAAATCACCTGCAATCCGAGAGTCGCGGTATAAATCTAGAGGGTGTGAGTACACATCCATGTACACGTATGTATCACAGGTCATGTGTGGCGATACACTTTGGCTTTTCAATCAGCTTTCAGACATTTGCACAAACATATTCCCAGGCTTGGGGCCATTCTTACACAATTCTATTTATAAGGGGTACATACGGATTTATTTAAATCCTTCTTACACTTTTAAGCCTGCGCTGTTTTGTCTTTTGATTATTAAACTACGCTGTGATGAACCTGCTAGCTGATCTTCTCACCTCATCCTCGGATCACTGCTGTCCAAACCTCCCAAGTATTGCAGCTGGATCCAAAGGCGTCTACATGTTTAAGGCTCTGCATGTTTTAGTAAACAATCCCCTGTAAGGGGGTTCCCATTTACTCCCCAAAAGTCTTCCTCAGCCACCCTCATGTTGATTTGTTTTTAGGACACAGGACAGATGTGTCCCTTTTGTTTTCAGGAGATAGGGACTCCTCTGCCAGCTGCCCAGTTTGATCCATCCTGGCAGGGAGAAGGGTTTCCTACCAAGGAAAGGTTCTCCCTCCCTACATGCAAAGAAAGTCCATCAACATGGCTTCCCCTTGAAACAAGAATGAAACCCAATCCACCTGGTGGTTGCTTATCTTCCAAAAAGTGGGATTTGCCAAAGGAACTGGGTTGCATTGGATGGCATCTTTATTATGTCTGGAGTAGAATGAAGTCTGGTTGGAGGCTTTGGGAAGGGGAGCTCTCTCCCACGCACTGGAGTCCAGGGCTGGGAAGATATAACTGGTAGAAAATGTTCCTTTTCCACAGAAGCTGCAACTCTCACAGCTTGCGACCTTCCAGAGCTAACTTGAGTTGGGAGACACAAACCACATGCAAGACAGAGATGGTGAGAACCTAGGCTGATAGAAACCACTTAAATGCAGCTGTTTGTCAGAGCCCAGCTTGGACCAAGATCCTAATGGAAGTCCAAAGACCAGCAACAGACAGGGGCAGGGACTGGGAGCCTGCTGAACTGCCAGCTCTGGTTATAAGCAAAATGATCATCCCAGGCTTGGAAACATGTATATAGGTCAAGGAAAAAGTTAAGAGGTCTAGAAAACAGCACTAGACATGGTGTGAAATTTCTTTGTTGTTTTGAGCAAACCTCCCATGAGAATGATACCAACATCCTAGAGGACTGGCAAGACCAGTAAAATCATCCCGATCTGTGAAAGAGCCTTTACTGGAACCTTTAAAATAGAAGCTGCCCCGGCACCAAGGATATGCTTCAGGGAATAGTGTTGCTTTCTCTAGGATCAGACATCACAACTGAGTATTCCAGCTTAGCTGTAATTAGTGCAACTGGCATATTTTCAGAGAGAGCATTATTGAGCATATTTGGATAGCCAATACAAGATGAATGGTTAAAGACAGGGCAGGATAATAAAACTTTCTCAAGGAAAAGCAAAAGGCCAGAGAGAAATTGATTGCAAGTGCTCAGGTTACACTAAAACCTTGGAAATATCAGTAAGTGAGTATGGTTTTCATTGCCCTACATAGAAGACCTTCGAAGTAACAGCAGCTCAGTGTTTCAGTGTTACTCCTCACCTCTTCCATACGTGAGGAAAACATCCTGGTAGGGTTTCTCCTGTGGACACTCCAGGAGGTCTACGAGGTGTGATCAAAATATATGGTGAATGCTTAAACTAAAAAAAATGTATGTAATAAAAGACACATTTCCATGAATTCTCCTCAAAAATCCCTCTTGCTTCAAGCACACTTATCCTGTCATTCTTGCCACTTTTTGAAACAGTTCTGGAGTCCTCTCTCATCAATGTCTTTAGGAAGTGTGACCAAAAATATGGTGACTCCTGCTGCCCAGTGCCATCTGACAGAAAGGCAGCTCAGAGAAACAGAGCTGTGTCCTCATCCACCTTATTCACTGGATCTGCCAGCATGTGGCTTCCGGCTCTTCCCCAAAGTCACAGTGATCATGAAAGGGAAGCATTTTCAATCCATTCAGGACATCCAGGCAGCCAGAGCAGTGCAGCTAAAGACCCTCAGGAAAGAGGACTCCAGAGCTGCTGCAGAGAGTGTTGAGGATGAGGGGATGAGTGTGTTCAACGCGAGTGGGAGGATCTGAAAGGAGATTCATGGCAATATGTCTTTTACTCCAATAAAATTTAAAAGTATTTAATAATCACCATAGTATTCAATCATGCCTTGTAGGAACCATTTGACAACTCTGATTTCATATAAGATGACTGCCTAGAATAAGTGTTTCAAACTTTGAGGGCTTTAGGGAGGTGGCCAAAGGATTTTTTTGTAATAGCAAAATAATCTTGCATGGAACTTTAACATATGGAGCAGGTCTTCCACATAAAGTGGGGACATGGAGGGAGGGGACCCAGGCCGCCTACCTTCTCAAAGATCACCTGTGGCCTCTCCACAGATGGGCATTGCAGGGCCCAGCAGCCCACGGCATGGCTCCTGCAGTTCCTACCAGGTCGGACCTGGGTCTGTGAGCACAGCTGTGGCAGTGGGGGAGCAGGTGGGAGGGCGGGAAGCAAACTTTCTGGACTCACACTCTGATTATGATCTCCCTCTACTCCGAGTCTCTGTGAGTCCCTGAACCACGTGGTGCCAGGGCCCACGGGAGGCAAAGGGGGGGTCACAAAGGCACAGGCTGGAGCCAGTGGGGAGATGCACACTTGGGCCCAGGTCATGCAAAAATGGGTCACATAAGTCTCAACTGCCTTTTACAATTTCTTGTAAAAGGCTGATTCACCTATTGGGGAATAACATTAAACATGAGCTGTGGTGGGTGTGGAGCCCCAGCTCCCCACGTGCCCATCTTGTGTCTTGGTTCTTTTCTTTTCTTTTTCTACTTGAAGGGAGAAGGGGGGATGAACCCAGGAGGGACCAGGATTCTGAAATACCACGAGTCAGGTGGATCGATTGAAAACCTCCCTGCAGAGAAGACGGCGCAGGGGAAGGGGCGTAAAAAGTCAATCTCAGTGGGCACGGGGCACGGAGCAGAGATCAGAAGGCAAGGGCAGAGCTGGGGTACTCCGGGCCTCTGAGAGCTTGGGCTAATTCAGTCCTCTGCGTCCCCGCTCAGGGATGCTTCCTAAAGCTCATCTGATTTGCCTAAAAGCCCCCAGCATGAGTCACAGCCGACGCTCTGAGTCCAGGGACCCTGTACTCTGTAACTGCTGGAAGCCCCTCGGGAAATGTCCACAAAACCCCACGAGAGGGGGAGATCTGTGTGTTGACTTGCACCACATTTGCTCAGCTCATTGCTTAAAATCACACGGAGTTGCTGAGATATTTAAAACTAGAGAGTCAAGTGGGTCCCTCCCTCCACAGTCAACTGTGGCCAGGAGACCAATGATTTGGGACAGGGCACTGGTTGGACCAGACCGATGGGAGTGTGATCCAGGTCTCGCCTTTGACATCTCCCTGATGTGTCAAAGGAGGCCAACAATCATCATAGCTAAAGGGGGTGTGGTGAAGATAAGAGCAATAAACAATGAGGGTGAATGATAATAAAAATAAGCCAGTGGGGTCTTCCGTACCCAGCATGGGGATGGTGTGGCTGGGCAGAAGCATGAGGTTGATGCTGTCCCAACTCCCCACCTCGTCCCCAAGGGCAGGCACAGTGACACTCAGCAAGGAGCAAGTATTTAAGCAGGGTGGTTTAGAAGATACAATTTTACTTATTTGGAGAAATGGATGAAACTTCTGGATAAATTATCAATATGCTAATTTAAATATAATTTATGTCTTGCCCATGTTTCAATTACAGCCCCCCGCCGGGAGAAGCCTGTGTGGGTGGTTAGATGAGAAACTGTGTCCTTAGCTTAAATGAAAGCCGAGGGTTCCTCACGGAGAACCTCATTCGCCCTCTGGAGTTCTGGGGTCCCCTCTCCCAAATGCCAGAGTTTCTGACATACACGATCATCCAAGAGGGCATAGCTCCGGGGAAAGTGAAGCTTAGGTCACAGAACTTCTGATCTGAAGAAGAGCGGAGCATTCGCACCCTGGGGAACCTCTGTGCCCTGGGCACCGGGCATCAGTCGCTCAGATTGTGAGTCTCAGCTCCCTGCAGTTTGGAGGTGTCCACTGCACCCGCTTCAGGGGATCTTCATGAGGATAAAGTGAGAAAATGCTTAGGGTAGTGTTTTGCTACTGTAAAGTATTCGGCCAATGGATTTACTATGCTTAACTAGGCAAAACAGTTCCATGGCTCTTCAGGACCTATGACCCTCCTTTCCCTGTTAGGTCCACAAGGCATTACTTCATGTGTCCTTGCTCCAGCAAACACATTACAAAGAGCACTAAGGAAATATCCAGAACATGGCCAGGTACTGTGGTGCATATCTGTAATCCCAGTACCCTGGGAGGCTGAGGCAGGAGGATCCCAAGGTCCAGCCCAGCCTTAGAAGTCCCATGGCCAATGCGCCCTTTGATTCAAATATTACAGTGGTCCAGGAGGAAAAGCAGACGCTGAGACAGGCAGGTCTCTCAACCCCTCCGTCTCTCAGTGGGCCACTCACGGAATCTTTCTACAGAGACTTTCTATAGCACTAATGCAGATGCTTAGCGAGTATTTGGGAAGGCTGTTGAAAAAGAAGGAGAGGAAAAAGCTTTCTCCAAAGAAGGAGTGAGGCGTGGCCCAAAGGGAGGGGAAGCTGGCTTTAGATGTCCTATCTCCTCTGTCCCTATCAGTGATGTGTCCCATGTCCTGTGGGCCATGTCTGCGATGCTGAGCTAGAGTACAGACCACGTACCTGGTGAGGCCCAGAGGCCGGGGCCAGGTGGTTCCACAAAGGGCAGATGTTGAGTATTTCTCTGTTTTTCATGTATTTCTCATTTATTAGGGGAAGCTTATGAAACTTCTGATATTTAAACATTTTATTAAAAATGATCATTCAGTAATAACGTTCCTCAGATTTGTTGTCAAAAACGTGAGCTCCTAAACACACATATTTATACCATAAGTACCATCTCCTCCAACTGTGGAAATGAAAAGGTTTTTATTAAGTGCCACATCTGCAGAGGTAGCGGCCTGCCCTTGGTCCTGTGCGGAGCAGCGTGGGTCTTCATTACTCTCTGGCCTGTGCAGTGCGTTCACAGCCTCACAGGCTCAGGAGTAAGACTTGCACTTGGAGACCGCAATTCCTCTGCTGAGGGTCTGCAGACCTAACTCCAGGCTGAGTCTTTTCAAATGGAGAAGGGGGCTCCTTTGCTCAGGAAGTCTGTACAGAAGGCTCCCTTCATTCCTCCCCTGTCCTTGCTGCCTTCTGCTTTGAACAAAAGCACCCCAAACAGAGGCTTTAGCATAATGTGAAGAACAAGAAACTATCAGAGGAAAGCGAGGCTTTCATTAGCTTTGTAACTGAGATGTGAGATCAGAATATTGATTGACTATTCTTTTTTTCTTTCCTGGTACTGGGGATCAAACCCAGAGGCTTCACATCCACAGCCCTTTACTTTTATTTTTTATTCTGAGACAGGGTCTTGCTAAGTTGCCCTGACAGGACTTCAACTTGAGATCCTCCTGCCTCAGCCTTCCCAAAGTGCCACTGACTGACTTAATTATTATTATATTTTAGTACCGGGGATCAAACTTGTGACCTTGCGCTGATGAGGCAGGTGGCGGCACCACTGAGTTCAATCGCCAGCCTCTGACTTATTCTTTATGGGAAATATTTCAGAGATGGCTCTCTAGGCCAAATTACCTAGGTATGTTTTTATTTTATTTTATCAAAATGTAGTAATTGTACATATTTATGTGAGACACTGCTTCAATCCCTGTATACACTGCCAATGATCGAATCTGTATAACTGCTACATCCATTGTGTTAAATCTGTTATTTCTTTATGCTTAGTACATTAAAATCTTTTCTTCTTCCTATTTTGAGGACTACAGTGCATTGGTGTCAACTCAAGTCACCCTGTGGAGCAACATAGCACCAGTGACTGCTCCTCCTGCCTAATGGTGACCTTGTATGTGTCGCTGACCTCTCATCTCTCCCTCTCCCCAGCCCGACAGTCACCATTCTACTCTCAATGTCTATGAGTCCAAAACTGTAGCTTCCACACGAGTGGTAACACAATATTTGGCTTTCTGTGCTCACCTCACTTCACTTAATACAACGTCTCCAGGTGTAGCCACGTTGTCTCAAATGATAGGACTTTATCCTTTTCTATGACCGAATAGGGTTCCATTGGGCAGACATCTCCCATTTCTTCCTCCGTTCACCCACTGACAGCCACGCAGGCTGCTTCCCTCTCTGGCCATTACGTTTTGATGTTAGAGACCCATTGTGCTACCCATTGCATTATGGAGCCACCCACATTTACCAGTGTGGAGATTCCATGTAGGTCCAGTGGGTCTTGTTTTCTTCGAATGCTGAAAATACCAATGTAGCAACTGCTCAACATGAAAACAAAAGAAAAGCAGAAGAGCAGAAGCAGTGAAAGGGGCACTTCTTGGTGTCAGAATTTTTTTTTAAACATCCCAGTTTTTGTGACACTTGAGTCCCATCTAGGTGCAGGAAGTGAACCGAGTGGATGAGGTCCTCTGTGAGGAGCAGGGCCAGGCCCTCGCCTTGCCAAGGTGACCAGACCCAGTTTCTCTAGGCTTTAGGAAGAGGGTGGGGGAGCCCGATGTGAAGTTATAATGAACTGAACTTCTCTTGTTTTTCATTTAACTAGGCTTTTGTTGTTGCATTTTCACTTAAGAAACAAAGTATGTGCTTAATAGAAATAAAATTCAAATAATGCTGCAAATTGCATGATCAATGCAAAATCATCCTCCTCATCCTCCTTCCTAACTCATCCTCTTTCACCACTATCTTCTAAGAGAGAGTCTAGGTTAATAACCACTATTTCAGAATTTTCCCAAACAGCAATGTAAGCATATAGAAAATGTATGTGTGTGCATAATTTTTCTTTTTAAAGAATGGGGTAACAAAAAGAAGAATGGGGTCATATTTTTTATGCTTTTTCATTTTCACAAATATTTCAGAATTCTTTCCAAACTTGTATTTTCATATCCTTCTCATTTTTAAGAGGTGTACATGGATTTGCCATAATTTTTAGGTATTAAAAACCACACTCAATGAGCAGACACTTGGATATCCT